CCAAACGGTGAGAGAGAGGAGGGACTTGAGGCTTCAGGCCAGAAGGAGGAAGAGTGAAGGGAGAAAAACAGCAGAGGAGGGAGGGAAGGCTGTCAGGCCAGAAGGACACAGAGCTACTGTACTTGGAAGAGGCAGCCTGTGTTGAAGGAAGCATCCACCAGGCCAATTTATTGTTTATTACCCTGGGTTGCCGGGCCTTAGGCCAGGGAAGTTATTTCAGGCAGAGGTCATAGCACGTTAATTAGTTGTTAGAAGAATGTCCTTTTCTGTATGTTCTTCCTGAGACAAGAAGTAGACCCTGAGGCAAGTACATATAACTGAAAGTGGATGGACACTCAGAGCCGGGGAGTGAAGAGGCAAGTCTGCTTCCGAGGGGAAGGTCCCTCACAGGTTCAGGCCGGAACACAGACCTGAATCACTGTGTTCAAGGCAAGAAGCAGGGATGGGAGAGGGCGTAGCTGCGAAGGCAGGCTGTACTCTGCACCCAGGCACACTTAGCTACCCCAAGGGGAACTTTCTTTGCTTTGGGGGAGGGGTGTTGTACCAGCCTACCCTCTTGGGAAGCAACTCAAAAATATGACTCTTAATACCAAGATTAAAACGTAAGAAAATGTTAAAACAAAACAAAACAAAAAAACAACCCCAGAACTCTGTACAACCTTTGGCCTAGTGATTTCACTTCTGGGAATCTCTGAGAAAACAGTCTAATATGTGGAAAAATATTATGCACAGAGATATTCAGAGTGATTCTACAAGAGCAAAAAATAAAATTAGAAACAACTTCAAACATTCAAAAGAAGTAGATTGGTTAAATGAATAACTGCATATACATGCAGTGAAATATCATGTGGCTCTTAAAAATAATGCTTACAAAGATTTTTTAAATTTACCCGGGAAATGCTCATGCTATGAGTGAAATAAATCCACATACAAAATTACATTATGGCATGATCTCAACTGTGTTATAAAACAGCTAAAAATACTGGTGGAAAGATAAATATATATATTTTTGCGGTACGCGGGCCTCTCACTGTTGCGGCCTCTCCCGTTGCGGAGCACAGGCTCCGGACGCGCAGGCTCAGCGGCCATGGCTCACGGGCCCAGCGGCTCCGCGGCACGTGGAATCTTCCCGGACCGGGGCACGAACCCGCATCCCCTGCATCGGCAGGCGGACTCTCAACCACTGCGCCACCAGGGAAGCCCTATATATATAAAATTTAAAATGGTTTCCCGAGTCGTGGGATGATGGGGCATTTTTTTCTTCTTCCTCAAATTTATTCTTGTCTGCATTTTCCAATTTTAAAAAATAGCTGTTCAGTGGATTTAATGAGAAGAAAGGAAAATATGTAATTTGCTTTTGGAGGGCTTCCCTGTGCTGCAGCCCCTCCTCCCCTGCTGGTAGTCTCTCCCTCAAAGGGAGACAGCCTTTGATGCACTAGCTAAATTCAGTTACTGACATGAGTGGGGAGGGAGAACTCTTGTACTCGGAGGATAAGAGAGAGGAGGGATCTGCCTCTCCTGGCCTTCCTGTCCCCCTCAGATAAGGAGTAATCTATGGCAAGTTGGCTCTGCCACTTTCTTAGACCCAGTTAACAGCAAGCATGACTCAGGCAAAGCCAGGACAGTGTCTCAGACAAGAGGCATGTCTGCTGCTCCAGGATCCTGCCCTCAGGGACGCTAGCTTCTCCCCATCTCCCCTCCCATTCTGCAAACCTCTACTGGGAGCTCCTGTAGCTGAGACCCCAGGCAAGGCCCCAGGGAGCTAAGGCACAGTAGTAAGTGCTGGGCTACAGGAAGGAGAAGCTCTAAATAACGTACTAAGAATTATAACCAAGGTGTGTCCAGAGGGCTACAGGAGGCCGTGCAAGGGCAGGAGTGACCTGTAAAAGGCCTGTGCTTCCCGTGGGGCATAAACCAGACCAGGTGGAGGATGCGTGGTACAAAGGAAACCGTGAACAGAACCCAGGTAGCTCTGAAGTGCCTTTGGCAGCAATGGGTGTTTAACAAAATAAGGGAGATGGATTAGATCAGGGGTTCTTGCCCTAAGGGCCAAGGCAGCCCTTGAACCCCCCAAATTATATGTAAATTTGGGATGTATGTGCATTTTTCTAAAGATGGGTCCACATATTTCATCAGATTTTCAAAGGAGGTACTGACCTTTTGAAAAGTTAAGAAGCAAAGAATTAGATTCATCGTTAAGGGCCCTTGTAGTTCTAACAATATAAGATATCCAAAAGCCAACATTCCCCCTGGGTACCCAACTTCAGAAATCACTCAGCCTCTCAAAGCTGCGGAGTCCAAGGCTGTCCACCCCACAAGAAAAAACTCATCTGGTGTTCCATTCATACATGACATGTTAGTATGCTACATGCCCTGCTTCCAAAAGGCTTGTGTTAAAAGCTTTGAGCTGGAGCAAATTTGAATCTAGAAAATCAGGAACCAGACTGTGAACTTTTCTGCTTTCCTCACCAAACAAAGCACAGTGTTTTGCATGTTGCAAGTGCTTTGGTCAATGAATGGAAACAAGAGCACCCCTGCTTTGACACCTTCCACAGGAGATGAGCACCATTGACTCTGGGGGCGGTGGACACAGAACACATCACCACTGTGTACGAGCCTGACTCTCAACACGGGGGGGCCATGAGCACCCTCAACAGCTTGCAGGGCTGTGAATGAGGCCAAGGAAGATGGCCTGGCCTTGAAGGCTGTGTGGACTGGAGAGAAGCCTGTCTTCTAAAGATAGGAAAGGTCCTATCACTCTGGTGGACAATATATGGACCTCTCTGAACGCAGGGTGGACAAGCTGACTTCCTGAGGATCCCTCCAGCCCAGGGATTCTGTAATTCAAGGGGATGGATGACTCACCCTCAGAGTTACAGGCATTTAGCCAACCATCTCCTCCCATGCATCCAGGACCTGCATCCCAGGTCAGCCTCCCACCCTGTTATATGGCTTTGAACAATGTATTTAACTTCTCTATGCTTCAGTTACCTCACCTGCCAAGTCAAGGGGCTGGATGAGACCATGGCCAATATCCCTTCCACCTCCAAAAGACTTTAATATGATTACTGAGCCATTAAGATCAACGGAAAAGAAAAAAGCATCCTGCTTCTGGACACTGTTTGTCGCCAGTCTCCAAGAGATATCTGTAGGAGCTCTGCTCAGTGAAGGAAACGGATAAAAGAAGGACAAGTGGAACTACCAGACAGAGGGCCACAGGCTCCCAAGCCCACCTCCTCAGCTGCAACTGTAAAGACCTCATATGAGTGGCTGAAGCCTTTAGAAGGCAAGGGAAGTGGTCCTGCCCATCAAGGGTATGTCCCTACAAGGAGAGGGGTAAGACAACCCCACCAGCCTAAGGTACTCTTGCGACCAGGGGCTTTCTCACTTGGGCTTCCTGGGTTTCAGTTTTACCGTCCATAAAATGGGAAGAATAGGGATGGCTCTGAATTTTAACACTTCAAACTGACCACCAAAGCCAAGGGCTAAGTGCAATGGAGAGGCACTAGGTAGGATAGAGCAGGGGACCATCCAATGCAATTGTGGGGTAAGCTTTGGATATCCGCACATAAGGATTTTTTCAGAGCCTTCTAATGAAGACTTCCCACTTGTCTCCACGCGGGAGGGGACATCGGGAGTGAGCGCAGGGCCTAAGCGCTGGGCGGCTGGGTGGGCTGCGGGGGCCCTGGCCGGCTCACCTGATGAAGGTGGTCTTCCCGGTGGAGTACTGGCCCACCAGCAGGACCATGGGCTTGTTGTCGAAATCAGCATCCTCCAGGGCGGGGGAGTGAAACTCGTGGAAGCGGTAGTGCTCTTCCAGGGGCAGCAGTTTGGTCCTGTAGAGTTTCTTGAGACCCTCGCTCACCGTCTGGAAGACCTCGGGGTCCTTCCTGCGGCGGTCATCGGAACGCAGCCAGCTGAACATCGCGGCCACCGCTCGCCCTCTCGGGCCCGGTGCGCAGTCCCAGCAGGAGGGCGCGGAGTCCGGCGACCCCCGTTCCTTGGGGAAGGCGTCCTGCAGGGCGGGTCCGCCGGGCTCCCAGCTGCGCCGCCGCCTCACCGGAGCGCGGGGCTCAGCCACACCATGGCCGGGGCGCAGGGCTCGGGGCTCCCTGGGAAGCACTCGCGCTCTTCCCCTGCTCCTGGGACCAAGCCCAGGCCCAGCTTCATCCAGCAACCAAGGCCGGAGGGAGAGAAAATATCTGGGCTGGGCGGGAGGGCTGCGATCTTGGGAAAAAAGTCAAACCTGCTATTAAAATGTCAGATGCCGGGGTCCCCGGTCTCCCCCAGCTCTCTCCCGCTTTGGCTCGGGTGCACTTTAGGGATGCTTTGGCTCTTCTCCCGCCCGCCTGCGAGGCTCAGGGGAGGAGGGGCGCTGCCCAGCCAGCGGACAGCTCAGCATCTGCAGCCGCAGCCCGCAGCCCCAGGCGCCTGTTTTAATGCCAGCCGTGCAGGAAGCCGGCTCGCGGAGGAAGTCCCCGAGTACTGGCAAGGCTGGCGTGGCCCTGCGGCCCCGGCGGGGGGAAGCTGAGCAGGGCGCCGCCATGTTTATGGGCAGTCGCCCCACTAGGGACCCGCGACCGCTTGCTGCCTGGAAAGGGAGGGATGCTGAGCCCGGTGGGAACGGTCTGGTATTTCATTCCCGGCCACTGGAGGTTTGATTTGGGAACAGCGCCCTCTCAGGGACAGCTGCGAAGACAGAGTTGACCTGCTTCACGCTCTCCCTTCTCTTAGATATAGTCTTTCCTTTAGTTGCTGAGTTCAGTTCCTTAGGATGACAGGTTCTCTATTACTTGGGAATATTTTTCTTGGGGCATGGAAAGAAGAGCCCAATATCAGCTTGCCCCAAATGACCAAAACTGTCACTACCCAAACTTTCTGCTAGGTCTAGGAAGAATTCAAAACCATTTTCATTCATTCATTCATTTGTTCATTCCGGCCAGTAAAACCAAACAAAACAAGCAGAACCTCCACAAGTATTGAACCGGTATTATGGCACAATTTTGGTGACTGTGGTTACAAACTTGATCACCAAGATGAGCACATACAGTCTCTCCCTTCCAGGAGCTCCAGCCCAGGCCGGCCTTAAAGAGGAGATAGGAGCAGAGGGCCCTGGGTGCACAGCGGGAGGAGGCATCCTTTTTGCCTGGATACTATGAGGAAGATGTCACAGAAAGAAGACTGTGAGCTGGATCTTCAATGACGAATCTACAGAGAAGAAGGAGGACATTCCAAGCTGAGTAAAGGGCACTTGCAAAGGCTGGGGAACATGGAAAAACTTGGTGTGGTGAAGGCAGAGAAAACAGTTTGCTACCTAGAGTACCGGGTTCAGGAGGGTGGAAGGGAGTGACTGAGGCCAGGCACAGAAGGCTTTGCAGAAACAGGAATCATGGAGGAGAAAAGGAGCCAATAATAATGTTACTGCAGACAACTGTTAACATTGACTGAGCACTCACCATGGGCAGGGGCCTGGGCTACGTTCCCAGCGAGTATTGTTTCATTTAACCTTCGCAGCAGCTCTATGAGGCAGATCATGTCTCCAGTGTCATGCCAAGGAGAAGGGGATGACAGCTGGCCAGGTGTAGGCAAAAAGGGGTGTATTTGTCTACTGGGAATTTAAACACAACAATAAAACCAACTCAAAGTCAATCTACTTTATATTCTCACCATTCTCATCAGCATCAGTGACAAAATATTCTCTCCTGCCAAGGCAGATGGCTCCCATATACTCCCCTCCACAGACGAGGAAGCAGAGTAGGCTAGTGGGCCAGGTGGGACTGCTAATGCTGGTAGCCGTGCAGGGGAGGGGCTGGAGAAGCAAAAGAGGCTGGAGGCCAAGAGACTGATTAGGAAACTTCAAAAATGTAGGAGTTGGGGTAATCGGGCCGGGAAAAAGTCATATTCAAGAGATTTTTTTCTTTTTTAATGACATAGAATTGACAGATCTTGGTAAGCAATAATAAGGGTAAGATGGAGTCTAGGATAATTCTGAATTTTCTACTGTAGGGGACAAGATGGTTGGAGCCACTGTTCCACCAATTAGGGGAGTCGGGAAGAGAGCAGACTTAGCATTTAAAGTCTGAAACATGTGGTCGAGGTGCCCATGGGAACTCCAAGGGGAGGAGCGTGGTGAGCTGCAGGGTTTCGAGTGGGGATTGTCAGAGGTGGGTGCTGGCTCCGATCTCCTTGGCTACAGCTCAAATCTCCTGACTCCCTACTTGAACCCCAGAGCTGATCGCCTCTTTCTGAGCTCTCTGCACCCCTGGTTGAGAAATCACTCATTAATATTTCACCCTTGGTGTTAAGTTAGCACTGGCATAGGAGCATAAGAGGCAACTTTCAAAATATTTAACAACTCACATGGCATGGGAATGGAGCAATCAGAACAGACGTCTGTCTTCTCAGTGAAGCAGGGCCTAAGGCCCTTTTTTGTAGAGATACAAAAGACAGTGAAGGATATTACAATAATAAAACCCACAAAAGTGTATCCAAAATATATAATTAATGCCTGTATATTAATAAGAAAAAAATTCCAACAGAAAAAAATTAGCAAAAGACACAAAAATTCCTTTTATAAAAGAGGCTACAAGCATGTCCTAAAAGTATAAGAAAAGATGTTAAACCTCATTAGTAGTGTCTGGAAGTTGGGAAGGTCTGGGTCTGTTGAGGGGGAGAGGTCAGGATTGCCAGGGTGCTGGTGGGGAAGTCAGGGGTTCCTTTGTGGAAATATTTCAATATTTTAGTAATTAGTACAGCCATGGTATTGTGTACAACTAAATGTCAGCCCTGAATATTTAACTTATCGAGTACATGTTGACACATCTAACTCTAGCTCTCAGTCGTGAAGAGTTGGGAAATCTATCTTTTAAATAAAGGAACCAAGTAATGATGCAGCATGTCTATATACTAACAATAACGAGTTACAAGAGAGAATTAAAAAAAATAAATCATTTACAAAAAATAGAAACATAGGGATAAATCTGACAAAAGATGTACAGACCTTTAGATGAAAAGTAATACAACTTAATGGAAAAACATTAAAGAAGTTCTAAATAAGTGGGAGAGACATACCGTGTTCAGTTATGGAAAGATTTCATGTCACAAAGATGTGAATTCTTTATAGCATAATTGCCAGATTCAATAATAGATAGAATTAAAATCTGAACGGGGTTTTCCATGGAAATTAACATGGTGATTCTAAAATGTACGTAGAACAATAAATAGTCCAAGAGTAGCTAAGGTATCCCAGAAGAAGAAAGAAAAAGAGAGGAAGGTACAGGAGGATTAGAAGGAGGAGGAGGGCTTCCCTGGTGGCGCAGTGGTTGAGAGTCCGCCTGCCGATGCAGGGGGCACGGGTTCGTGCCCCGGTCCGGGAAGATCCCACACGCCGCGGAGCGGCTGGGCCCTTGAGCCATGGCCGCTGAGCCTGCGCGTCCGGAGCCTGTGCTGCACAACGGGAGAGGCCGCAACAGTGAGAGGCCCGCGTACCGAAAAAAAAAAAAAAAAAAGAAGGAGGAGGGAGGGAGAAGGAGGAGAATAAAAGAAGACAATATCAACAGCAAGAGCAACAACTAGGCGAAGGGAACTTGCCATAGTAGAAGTCATTATCAAGTTGCAGTGGTTAAGGTGGTGAGGTTTAGCGTAGAGATAGATCAAGAGAACAGTGACCCAGTAAAATAGTCAGGACATGTGGAAACCTGATATATACAGAGGTTGTAACAGAGAATGCATATATATATTACAACAAGGTCAGGAAGAATTCCTTCAATAAGACACCAAAAGAACAAATGGCAAATGAAATACATTTGGCAATAGTAAACCTAAGTCACTGTTATTCAACTGAAGATACAAAAGATAGTGAAAAGATATTTGCAATACATAAAACCAACCAAAGAGCATCCAAAATATGTAATTAATACCTGCACATCTGTAAGAAAAAGGCAAACAGTCCAACAGAAAAAAATATATTAGCAGAAGACAGATTCCTTTTCCAAAAGAGGCTACATGACTTCTACCCTATAAACACAGGAAAAAATGTCGAACCTCATCAGTAGTTAGAGAAATGCCAAACCACAGTTAGATAGAACTTCACACCCACCAAAATGGCCAAAAAGAAAAACATTGGTTGATAACAAGTGGTGGTGAGAATGTGGTGCAATGGGAACTCTCACTAGTCACTGGTGGACGTGTAGATTGTCATAAATGCCTTAGGAAACAATTTGGCATTACCTGGCAAAGCTCAAGGTGTGTGTGTCCTCCATCTACCTTGCAGTCCCATGCCTACTTGTTATCTAGAGAGACTCTTGCCCACGTGCAGGTGCATGGGGAGATAAGTATGTTGAGGGCAGCATTGTTTGCAACAGCAAAATATTATAAACAATGAAATTTTCTTCACCAAGAAAGTGGATAAATTGTGCCATGTTCATATAACAAAATTAATTTCATATAATAATATAGTACTATACCAACGTGAAAATGAGGACACTGGATCTGATGCCAAAACACAGTGCTGGGTAAATAAAGCCCAAGGTAGGCTGTGATGCAAAGCATAATAAATACCACTTCTCTAAAGTTTTAAATTATGCAGAAAACACTCCCTGTTGTTCCTGATGCTCAGAAGTTTTTAAAAAGTAAGGGAATAGAAAACGATCTGGAAAACAATGTCCTCTGGGGACTAAGGACGGAAGTGAAGTTGGGGATGGGGACAAAGGTGGCTTCAACTATATATTCGCAGTGTTTTATTTCTTAACCTTGAATATGAGTACTTGGCTGTTTACTTATTATTCCCCCTATCCTTTATAAAAAATATCTGGTCCTTAGATACACAAAATTAGATTTTTTTTCATAATCGTGGTTCAAGACAAACTCCTTATACCTGGCTTTTTTGTTACATTTTTTTCTTTTTTTATTGAACACACTTTTAAATAATACAACGAACCCCTGGTGAACCTATCAGCCAATCCGAGAACTGGAAAAATTAGCAATAATTTGCATGTATCTATGTGTCCCTCCTTTATCCTGTGCCCCACCAGCCCCAGAGCTAGCCACTACCTGGAATTTATTCCCTTGGTTTTTAAATTAATGTTATCATTAATAATAGCATATTGTTGAGGTTTCATGCTCTGGAACTTTGTAAAAAGCATATCCTGCTACAAGTAGTCCCCTGGAACTTAATTTTTTTCCTACTCAACATTCTGTCAGCGGCATTCGCTTTCAGTTCCCGCTGGCTCCTAGCGGCCTCTCTCCTACCAGGTGCTTCTCCTAAGCCCACCACGTGGCTCCTATAGTCTGTTACCCTGAGGTTCCCAGGCAGACAACCTGCAGTAGATAGAGTCCCTGGGCCTACACATCCTTAGCGACCTCAGGAACGTGGCTTCAGTCTCCCAGCCTCAGCTCCATCGTGAGTGAGAGTTTTTTGAGAATGAATGGAGACAATGCATGTTGATTTCTCAGTGACTGCCTGGTCAGTTGACAGTGCTCAGTATACACTGTTAGCTCTTAATATAATAATCACTGTTATTGTTATTCACTATGTGGGCACTGCCCTGTGTTCTGGACATATTTAATAAGCTAGCATGTCATTGGTCAGTGAGTAACTTTTTTCAGTTCATTTGTATCTTAACTGAGGGTGGCTCATGGGCTCCAAGAAGCACAACTGCTAGTAGTGGAATGTGTGGCCTTCGCTATAGGCCCTTGAGGGTGACGCTATGAAATTGGGCTTTTTCCTTCTTTTTCTTCCCTTTCTCACTAAGACCACCAAAGTCTGGCCAGAAGTAGAGGGAGAAGAAGGTGAAAACTGCAGTGGCAACTTGGAATAGAAAAAAGCTTGAGCCCTGGCCCTAACCTGGGGAGGTTAGAGGAGTCAGGAGGACGGTTCAAGTGGTGGCCCAGGTGTCCACAACCCTAGAGCTTGGGCCCCTCCCAGCCTGGCGAGTACACCATAGTTTACTCGTTTTGTTGAGCTCCACTGAAGGGGAAGATGCATCAGCTCAGCCAGTTCCTCTTGTTGAGAACTAGATTAAGCTGTTTAACCTCTTCTTATGGCAATATTCTCATATGTGAAACCCGGTCTAAGAATGACACTGCACAATGCTGTCGTGGGGATAAATTGACACAGTGTAGGTTAAGGACCTAATACCATTTTATAATCTCTATACAAATATCTATCTATCTATAGACGTAATTACATATATGTATATATATGTGTGTGTATATATATATATACATATACACACATACATATGGCATGTAAGTTCACTTTTGTTCATTCAGTTTTCATTCATTCAAGGGGAAAGTGAACTTCTGTTCTTTCTACTTGAACTACTGTACTTTCCCCTTGAATGAATGAAAACTGAATGCATACAAAGAAAGGCAAGTCTGGAATAAAAATAAGGAGATTAGGAAATTGTACTCGGGAAATTTATAAACAGAAAAGGAGATGAAGTAACAGGCTGAGTCCAGTTGTCCAGCTGTCCCTGAACAGCCTGCCCTGTTCATACCATTACTGCCACACCTATTGATACTTAATTACTGGGACGTGCATCTGTCATACACAGCAGCTCTTGTGGGCAGAAAGAGAATCTCATCCTTAGGTTACCAGGGGTGAGCTCACCGGAAAAGTCCAATATCACAAGGAAGAAAGCCCACACTATGGGAGGCAGTGGTGGATGTCTGGTTTTATTAAAGTGTCTGCTTCTTGAGCCCCTACAGCTCAGTTTCCTCTCTGAGAACCTCATCTCCCAAAGGCAAGACATTTGTAATTACAAGATGTGAGCTATAATTAGAAAACCTTCCATCATCACCTTCATTATCAGTCTCTGCTTTCATAGCACTTGTGTTCCTAGAGGGTGGGCATTGCCCTTGTAGCATCTGGTCCTCACAGCAGTGCTGAAAGTGAAGATACGAGAGGAACGCTCACACAGAGAGGTCGAAAGCTTTGCCCCCACAGGCATCCTCTGTGGAGCTATCTATCATCCTACCTCCTTTCCCATCAATCCAAAAAAGGTGTGAGGCAGCTTTCCAAAATCTCCTGAATTCTGAAAAATAATTTAACCCTTGAGGCAGTAGATAGGAGGAGAAGGGGCAGGTGGCTGGTGCAGCAGCGATCATGTCGGGGGGAGGTGAGCTCACCCAGTGCTCCTTAGAAGTGAGCAGCTTGTGTGGCTCCGAGCTTCCTGATGAAAGCAAAACCAGAAGCAAGTTCTTGGTCCCAATCCCAGACATATCAATCTGTCCCTGTAGGCAGTACCTTGATTGCACCATCCCACTAAACAACCCCCCTTGGATAATAAAAGTAACAAAGCAGTGAAACGACAAAAGCACAGGAATCCAGAGGGACCCTGGAACAAGGACAAGTCTTGAGCATCTTTCCTAGATGGTAAATCTTGCCTGTCTCGCCACTGGGGGAGGTAGACGAAGCTTCTTGATGAGGAAGGCTGAGCTGTCATTTCTCTTGAAATCTAGCTCAGTGCTGAAGCAGGCCCCAAACTTGACTCATTAGGGAAGTGGCTCTCGATGGGCAGAGAGACTGGAAATGTGAATTGCCTGCAGTTGGCTAATGATTGTAAAGCAATAAGGCTATGACCATCACAAAATGTGTACCAGCAGAAGGAAACTGATAAAGGCAGAAGATCGGAGCAGGCATTATTTAAAAATACAAAAGCACACAACAGTGGAAGCTGAAGAAGCAGAGCCTGCTCCTGTCTTTAAAAGTCTGCTACTCAGCAGCTATGTCTCAATTTTTCTCCATTTAAAAACTGTATTTATTTTTATTTTATTTAGTTTGTATTTTGCTTCTCAATTTTGATTATAAAATTTTTTTTTTGCTTACTGAGTTTAAAATTGTTTTATAGGAAAAGTTATTGGTTTTTTTCTTTTAATTTTATTTATTTTTACTTTTGGTTGCTTTGGGTCTTCGTTGCTGCACACGGGCATACTCTAGTTATGGTGAGTGGAGGCTACTCTTGGTTGCGGTGCGTGGGCATCTCATTGCAGTGGCTTCTCTTGTGGAGCACGGGCTCTAGGCACGTTGGCTCAGCAGCTGTGGCTCGCAGGCTCTAGAGTGCAGGCTCAGTAGTTGTGGTGCACGGGCTTAGTTGCTCCGCGGAGTTGTGGTGCACGGGCTTAGTTGCTCCGCGGCATGTGGGATCTTCCCGGACCAGGGCTCGAACCCGTGTCCCCTGCATTGGCAGGCAGATTCTTAACCACTGCGCCACCAGGGAAGCCCAAAGCTGTTGGTTTTATTCTTTATGATTTCTCCCATTACTACATTAAACTTAGAGTTCTCCTGCTCAAGAATTTGAGTTTTTATTTTCTTGAAATTGTTCTCTAGTTTGAAACTTTTATATGTAACTTTAAAATTCATCATTAGCTTTTTTTTTTGGTATAAAGTTGTGGAGTGGTGATGTATTCAAAATTATTTCCAGATTCTTTACCAGTTCTCTGTTGAATAGTCTTCCATTCTCTTTTGATTTGTCAAGTCTTCTTAAAGACACATTATTATAAATTACTGAAATAGGATAACCCTATTTCAGAGTTATCCTGTTTCAGCGAGCTGTGTCTATTTTTAGTAACATGCCATTTAAATTACTGTAATCTTATGATACATCTTAATATCTGGTATGAATATTCACTCTCCCTTACTAACATGTTTTAACAACCTCTTAGTCTCACTTTCTTCTTGTTCTTGTTGTCTTCCCCCTCCTCCTCTCTCTCTCTCTCTCTTTCTCAAAATCTTCTGTTCCTTCTAATTGAAAAGTAATTATGAAGTTTGCAGGTAATTTAGTTTCCGTCTTATTTCTGTCAATATGTATTTATTTATCCTCTGCCTTTTCCCCAGTCAACATTATACCATGTGTATTTCACATATCCTGGAAAACTATTCAAATAATTAATTGGAATGAATGCTAATATCCAACTCTATGGAAATTCCTTAATTTAATTAGCCGCACTAAATAACGAACATGTAAGTCATTGGCAGAATTATTGCCAACAATAATAAAAGCTTTATTTCAGAGTTATCTATTCTGTTTCACTGAAAGATGAACACCTTTGTACATAATTCTTCATCCATGGTTTTATTTACTTAATATGTATTTTATAAATGGAACCATTGGCAACATTATTAATTCTTTTGATACTTACCACCAAATTGCTTTTCAAAAGAGGTACAACAGTTTATATCCCTATTGCAGGGATGTTAGAGTTCCTAGGGTTTTATTTTTTCCCCCAACACCGTATGTTATTATTTAAATAAATTCACCAATTTGGGAACTGGAAAATATCTCATTTTTTAAAATGAGTGTATATATTATTACAAAAAAGTTTGAAATTTTTCATTTGTTTATTAGCCATTTATATTTCTTCTGTGACTGTCTATTTTTGTTTATCCTTCATTTTTCTAAAAACATTTTGCGTTTTTCTCATTGTTTTGAAAAAGTTTCCTTGTTTTTACAATAAGGACATTAATCTTATGTCTCTGTGTTTACTCATCCAGATCAATTTTGAAGATGTTTTGTCAATTACCTTCTCCTCATCTCTCCCCTCCCCCACAAAACAAGATCATTGGGATATTTTTTTATCAGAATCTCAATAAAATTATAAATTAATTTTTGGAGAATTAACATCTTCTTAATATTTAAATTTTCAATCCAAGGAAATGATACAGCTTTCCACTTATTCTTTTACATTCGTGTAAACTTTCTGTAGTTTACAGATAGGTAAAAAAATTTCCTTTAAGATTATTCTCAGTTATTTTATATTTTTATTGTTACTATGAAAGATATTTCTATTATGATAATTTCTAACTGCTTATTGCTATATATAGGAATGCCATTACTTTAAAAAGTATTTATCTAATGTATAGTTTTTTTACTTAATACTCATTCATACAGTACTTTTTAGTTCATTCTTAGTTTTCCAGTTAAATGAGGATCAACTAGTGTTTTTCTTCTTTATTAATACTATTTAGGTTTATAATTGTATTTCATATTTTGCCAGAATTTTCAAAACAATGTTGAAATTTTAAAAAGGAGCCTTCTTTTTTTGTTCACCATGTCAGTGCTATTCTGATACCTATCTGGATTCTTCTTTCTTTCACCTCCTTGGCTTGGGAGTTGTGATCTTTTTCAGTGCTTTCTTTTTTGGGGGGGTGGGTCAGATAAAAAAGTATTCTTAGCATCTGGCATATAGCATCCTCTTAGATTTGACAGATATATGTATTTGTGTGTATATAGAATCCTACATACACAATTACATATTTGTGTTACGTGCTCTGAGTGTTTCTGAGAAGCCTGGGTGGTGCTGTGAATAGAAACTGAGACCACAGGAGGAACAGTAGGTTTGGAAAATGATATCTACTGATAGCCACAAGGATACTGAAGCTCAGTCCAGGATCTTCTCAAAGGGTTTCCTTTTGCAGGATGGGACAGAACTCACGTGTTTTAACATGTGAGACATGAGATTGAATTGACAGCAAACTCAATGTGAGTCAACACTAAGATGTAGGTGCCAAAAATAATTATAAGGTTTGAGCCACATGCACACAAGCGTAGGAGATGAGGATAATCACTGCTGCCTGGAAGCCTGTTACGTGGCTGGCGCTATGCTAGCTGCTCTCACACACATGACTTACTTTGTTTGCATGACAGTTCGAAGTGTCATGATTCTCCCAGAGAGCGGAACAGAAGCTTAGTACCCAGAACGAGGCAGAGCAGGGCACGTGCCACAGTTTTTATGAAGTGTAGGTGAACTGATTGATAAACCCAGATGTGGTCTGACATGGTATGGTTAACAGTCAGGGAGCCAGTCACTGTGTTGTATTATGGTTAACTTAAGGAGCTGAAATTTTAAAAATTATAATTGGAGGACTGTTCCCTGCGAGGGCAAAAACAACCAATCTACCACTGTGCTATTACCCACTTGCAAGATTTCGGTTACCATCTGTATGCCAATAATCCTGAACACTCGTATCTCCAGTCTGAGCTTCCCTTGGGTATCCTGTAGACAGGCAGCTCACATTCAGTCCCAGGGGTGAGAGTTTCCCAAAGACCTCTTGGTAAGCACTAAATTCAATCATTACTGAATAATTTTAATTACTATTTTAACACAATTTACTGAGTGCTTATTATGGACCAGCCACTGGACTAAATGTTTTGTATTCATTACGAAATGAATAGTTGAGTTTTCCCGCTAATCTTACAAAGTATATATTATCCCTATTTTGTAGATGATAAAACTGAAATGATAAAACTGAGTCAGTAAATGGTTAGAGTTGGGTTCAAACCCCAGGTTTATTTGGCTGTAAGTGTAAATGTGACTTCCCCAAAGTCCTCCAATTCCCTTTAACTCTGTTTCAGACTTTTTCAACTCCATTCGCACCTGATTTCTTCTTTCTCTTAGATCTCCATCAGTCATGTTTGTGTGTGTCAAGAACTTTTATTTTCATATTGAGATAAAATTTATATTTAAAAATATTTATGTTTATGATTTTATATTTATTTAACAAATGTATTTAACAAAATTTAGCACTTAATATGTGATAAATACTGTCCTAACTGCTTTACCAATGTTAGCTCAATCCTCACAACAGTCCTATGAGTAGGTGTATTGGTGTCCTAGGGCTGCCATAACAAATTGCCACAAGAGAAATTTATTTTTCACAGTGTTTCTTAAAGGCAGAAGTCTGAAATCAATGTGTCCTTAATACCGTACTCACTCCAATGGCTGTAGGGGAGGATCCTTCCTGCCTGTTTCGGCTTAGGGTGGCTCCCAGCATTCCTCAGCTTGGAATGCATAGCTCCGGTCTTTGCCTACATCTTCACACACCCTTCTCCTCTGTGTCTTTCCCCTTCTCTTCTTTTGTAAGGACACTTGTCATTGGATTTAGGACCCACCCTAATCCAGAGTGATTTTATCCCAAGATGCTTAACTTCATTACACCTGCAAAGACCCTTTTTACAAATAGGATCACATTGACAGATTCTAGGTAAACGTATCTTTGGAGGAGGGTACCCATTCAACTCATCGCAGTAGATGTGACTATTGGCTTCATTTTACAGATCAGGAAAAGGAACAGAGAGGTTAAGTAACTTCCCTTAGGTCTCACAGCTAGTGAGCAGCAGAGCCATTTTCTCCTCTTACCAGCTCCCAGGGCCTTTGATCGTTCATTTCAAGGTCTCATCTGCAGGCATGAATCTCACCCAGATATCTGCAACATTTGCTGTTGGCACTCGGCCCAGCCACCTGGACTGGTTCTCATTTTATACAGGCGACCTCCAAACATGGACCTGCGTACCTAGTCAAGCTGCGGAACCCCTGTGGAAGAGTGGAATGGAAAGGAGACTGGAGTGACAGGTGAACTTCTGAGACTGGCTGGGAGGGGTGAGGACGGGGTAGGTAAAGGCTGCAAAGGAGGCTGCCTTTGGCACACAAATTCAAATGCGTGCTTTTGACATTTTCACATATGCATTATCACTTAATCATTTTTACAGATGAAAAAATGAAGGCTCAGAAAAATAAGTGGAATATTACTCCTGATAGAATGTACTACACTCTATTTATTATACATTAATAAAGAGAATTGTCGGAGGGACTGGGTCTATGTGGAAAAATGGCATCCAAAGATTTATATAAATTTTTTTTTTTTGGCTACGTTGGGTCTTCGTTCTGCGCTTGGGCTTTCTCTAGTTGCAGCGAGTGGAGGCTACTCTCCGTTGCAGCGCTTGGGCTTCTCGTTGCGGTGGATTCTCTTGTTGCGAAGCACAGGCTCTAGGCGCGCAGGCTTCCGTAGTTGTGGCATGTGGGCTCTAGAGTGCAGACTCAGTGGCGCACCGGCTTAATTGGGCATGTGGGATCTTCCCGGACCAGGGCTCGAACCCGCGTCCCCTGCATTGGCAGGCGGATTCTTAACCACTGTGCCACCAGGGAAGCCCGATTTATATAAAATTTAAAGTGTTGTAGAAATATAGCGTCATAACGTTGTTGGTAGTGGTTTGTTTAGGAAAACAAGTGCTTGTCTTTGAGAAAAATGACGGGTTAAATTAATTTTGGTAGCTGTGTGATCTTAGGCAAACTTTTTAATTTCTTTGAGCCAGATGTGTGATGAGGATTAAATAAAATGATGGGCTTTATTCCATAGTGTCTAATCTGCTGTTAGTCTCACCCAGAGTGGTTTTCATTTTAGATATTATATTTTTTAATACTAGAGATACCATTTGAGAATATCTTTCACTTTTCTCTTCATCATGTCCATAGTTCCCTTTACATCCTTGAGAACATGAAGCGCATTTATAATGGGTGTTTTAATGTCCTTATCTGCTAATTCCATCATATCTCTCTTATTTCTAGGTCTGTTTTTACGTGTGGTCATGGATCACATTTTCTTTCTTTCTTTTTTTTAAACATCTTTATTGGAGTATAATTGCTTTACAATGGTGTGTTAGTTTCTGCTTTATAACAAAGTGAATCAGCTATACATATACATGTATCCCCATATCTCTTCCCTCTTGCGTCTCCCTCCCACCCTCGCTATCCCACCCCCCTAGGTGGTCACAGAGCACCAAGCTGATCTCCCTGTGCTATGCGGCTGCTTTCCACTAGCTATTTATTTTACGTTTGGTAGTATATATATGTCCATGCCACTCTCTCACTTCGTCCCAGCTTACCCTTCCCCCTCCCCGTAACCTCAAGTCCATTCTCTACATCTGTGTCTTTATTCCTGTCCTGCCCCTAAGTTCTTCAGAACCATTTTTTTTTTTAGATTCCATATATATGTGTTAGCATATGGTATTTGTTTTTCTCTTTCTGACTTACTTCACTCTGTATGACAGACTCTAGGTCCATCCACCGAACTACAAATAACTCAATTTCGTTTCTTTTTATGGCTGAGTAATATGCCATTGTATATATGGGCCACATCTTCTTTATCCATTCATCTGTCGATGGACACTTAGGTTGCTTCCGTGTCCTGGCAATTGTAAATAGAGCTGCAGTGAACATTGTGGTACATGACTCTTATTGAATTATGGTTTTCTCAGGGTATATGCCCAGTAGTGGGATTGCTGGGTCATATGGTAGTTCTATTTTTACTTTTTTAAGGAACCTCCATACTGTTCTCCATAGTGGCTGTATCAATTTACATTCCCACCAACAGTGCAGGAGGGTTCGCTTTCCTCCACACCCTCTCCAGCATTCCTTATTTGTAGATTTTTTGATGATGGCCATTCTGACTGGTGTGAGGTGATACCTCATTGTAGTTTTGATTTGCATTTCTCTAATGATTAGTGATGCTGAACATCCTTTCTTGTGTTTGTTGGCAGTCTGTATATCTTCTTTGGAGAAATGTCTGTTTAGGTCTTCTGCCCATTTTTGGATTGGGTTGTTTGTTTTTTTGATATTGATTTGATAGTGGATCACATTTTCTGCTTCTTCATATACATGGTGATTTCTTTTTTTTTTTTTTGTGGTACTTGGGCCTCTCACTGTCGTGTCCTCTCCCGATGCGGAGCACAGACTCCGGACGCGCAGGCCCAGCTGCCATGGCTCACGGGCCCAGCTGCTCCGTGGCATGTGGGATCTTCCCGGACCGGGTCACGAACCCGTGTCCCCTGCATTGGCAGGCAGACTCTCAACCACTGTGCCACCAGGGAAGCCCATATACATAGTGATTTTTTATTCGATACTGGACATTGTAGATTTAGTTGCTTAGGGATTATTTTGATACTTTGAAGTTTTCTTTTAGGACAGTTCCAGGAAAACTTTTAGTTGGGGCCTAACTTGACCCCACTACTAAGGTGTAGACCCTTTGGGTTCTCTACTAAAGACCCCATGTATACTGTAAGGTCTTTTGACTCTGGCTGGTGGGAATTCAAATGATTTCCAGCCTGGTGTCAGCTCTGGAAATTGTTCTGTGTATAGTCCAGTCTTGTGGGATTTCATTTTATGTATGGACAGATTTTATTTTAGCCAAAGACTCAAGGGAACACCTGTGAAGTTCTCTGGAGGTCCCCTCCTCTTGGGCACTTTCCCCAGCAAATTCTAGCTGTCTTGTCTCCCTGAACTTCAGACTCTGTCTCTTCCACTCAGCAAGACTGCTGGGCTCTTTGTGGGTCCACTTCCCTGCGTCACTGTCCAGGGAATTAGTTTCAGGCAGGAGTCTAGGCAATGTTAGGGCTCACTTTATTTGTCTCCCTCCTCTTGGGGTCACAATTCTGTGCTGCCTGCTGTCTAATGTCCAAGAACAGTTGTTTCTTGTATTTTGTCCCATTTTTAGTTGTTTATAGTGGGGAAGTGGTACATGAAAGCCCTACTCCTTTGTAGCCAGAAACAGAAGTCCAAAATGATGGGCTGTGGAAAAAAACCCAATAGTAACATAGGTTCCAATGCTAGTTCTGACATTTAATAACTTTGTGACTTCAAGCAAGTGACCTAATCTCTTTTAACCTCAGTTTCCTAATCTCTAAAATGGCAATAAAAATCCCTACTTTGTAAAGTTGCTGTTAGCCTTAAATGAAATAAAATATGTCAAGAGCCTAGCCCAGAACTTGGCTCAGAGCAAGTGATGAATTAATGTCACACGTTGCTTTCATAATAGAGGATGTGAGATGTAATTGTCTGCAAGCAGTATGAAGATGAGAATAAATAGCAACACTATAGAGCATTTACTGAAGAATTTCTTGCATGTCCCTCTCAATCCTTTCCTTCCCCATGAAAACATCTCTTTTCTGTTTTCAGCTCAAGTATGTGGGAGCTACTGAGCCTCACGGAGAAGATTCTGCTGCTGAGGAAAGATGATGATGGAGAATTCTGGTATTTGACTCAGAGACTTGGGGCACATGCCCTGGCTTACATTAGGACATCCATCCAGCAAACGTTTACAGGGTGCCTCATGTATGCCAGGCATACATGAGATCAAGAGAGATCAAGAGACAAGATCTCTTATACAGAGATCAAGAAGACCCTTTAGGGGCTCATGGCCTAGCAGGGCAATCAAACAGTCACAGTCTCTGTGATGAGAGCAGAGACCCCTGGCATGGAACTCAGCGGGTGCTCAAAGCAGAGGGTGGGTGTGGCCACCGCCTGCTCTCCGACTTCTGTTTCTTGCCGACTATAAACCACCGCACCTGTGCCCTCCAGAGCAAAGCAATACTGCCCCCACCCGCCCCGAAGCCTCTCACCCCTTTTTATGAAAGGCCACCAGACACCCTGAGCTGATGCTGCTTCTGGGTGTCTGACATGAGACCCACCTGTTCCCCGTTCCTTCCACTTTTCACCCTTACTATTAACTCCCACGCTGTCCCTCCTCTCCCTGTACCCATCCTTTTCAGACTGCTGTGTCCCTTTCGCTCTTGAAGTAAGTGGTCATTGAACTCAAGAGTCCTGCAAATACTATTATTTCTGTTTACAGATAGTAAACTGAGCTGGTTCAGACAACACGCCTTGGGACACAACATTAGCCGATTGGGGCGAAGGTTTTTATTAATTGATGACGAGGAACTGATTCGTGCAATTCTTACTGAACGTGTGTAAATCAGTTGACTAGCTATGAACGCCCCAATTCCACTTTATCACCACCATCAGTGGCCCAAGAACATCGCCCTCAGGTAGCCACTGTTGGAGGCTGCTTCCAGCCACAGGGTGGGGTTTCTTGGTAGCACCACCTGCCCGAGATGGACCCTCACACTGGTCCATCCAGCCCCAGTCTCATGGGTCCAAAGCCAGCTCAGCTCTGCATGGGGGTGTGGAGGCTGGGGCCCTGGGTCCAGCAGAGGGCTGGGATGCCCATTACTTAGTTGCAGCCTCCCTTCTGGTCCTCATGACTGGATGTCATCTCTTTCATCCTCTACACAGGATGACATTGCAGGACTTTAAAGCACATTTCATGCTTCTGGTCATCTGTAAACTGAGCCCAGGCCTGCTGAATCAGGAGGTGGTCCAGAAGTGGTCGTACACCATGCTGGAGGGGAGATGGGAGAAAGGGACCACGGCTGGTGGCCCGACAAAGTCACCCCGAGGTGAGCCTGTGCACAGGAGACAGGGGCTCTTGGGTCTAAGGGGGCAGCTTCTCCAGGCAAAGGTGGGGCTGCAGACAGAGCCGCTGCCCAGGGCCCCTGGCTGAAGGTGAGGGGGCTTTGCTGGCCAAGCTGTGTGCGCTGGCCCCAGGCTATGTGAACCAGGAAGATGGGGCACCTTTGTCCTAATTTGCACCAGGGCGTAGAATTCTCAGTCAGGCTGCCTACTTCTTGGGGGTGTATCTTTCCAGAGGGTTCCCTTTCCTAATAGGCACCAGGCGGCCACAGGCGCACAGGCATAGTAGAAGGTTGGGTCACATCTTTCTGTGGTTTTAGGATAAGGTCACTGATATGCTGAAGCAACCACCCCATAACAGGCAGGATTGAAATAGTATTTATATTGTATGTATCAGGCCCACCTTACCTAGAGTTTGGTAGAGAAACAAAGTCAAGGATTCCCAGGTCATCAGGTATAGGAGATGAAAGTGTATACATTCTCCAAGTGGAGAGGTTTGGGGACTGTGTCCCTTTCTCCACAATGGGCCATCTCTTGGGTAGGAATGATTTGAAGGGGGTAAGATCTCAGCGGGGCCTGGGTGGCCCTGGCTCTGCCTTCATCTCCCCCACAGTGTCCCCCCAAAGGCTGAACCTGCACATAAGCTAAGGCTTGGTCCCCACAGCTCTGTCCCCTTCCCTCCCACCTCTTCCACCTTGGGTTCTTCTATGGACACACAGACCTGAGAGTTACTCTCCACTGTAGCTTTTGCCCAGCACACTGCCTGGCACAGACTTTGTGTCCTGGAGATGTTCACTGCCTGGGTCAGTGACTGTTAACTAACTGAAGAGGACGTGCCTGTGGTCCCAGGGGAGCAGCATTTTAATGGGGACCAAGCCTTAGCTTATGTGCAGCTCTGTCCGGGTGGACCCCAGCTCTGTCCAGGTGGACCTTGGGTGGGAATCCCGGGGCAGCACCCTGGGTCTGTGCTCCTCTCTGTGGTTTGGCAAGCAGGATGCTAGGGGAGCCTGTCTCACCTTGGTTATGTTCTGCCCCAGACACATTTTGGAAGAACCCGAAGTTCCTGCTGTCGGTCTGGAGGCCCCAGGAGGGCAGGAGGTTCCAAATGCCTTGTAGTGTGCTGGTGTCCCTGCTCCGGAAGCCCAGGCACAGGCACCGCAACAAGAAGCCTCACCTTGCCATTGGCTTCTACCTCTTCAGGGTAGGTGGGCCTCTCGTGGAGTCTTATCCTTTCTTCCTGTTTCCTGTCCTCTTTACCATCCATCTCTGTCTACCTACATCCTTGTCTGTCTACCATGGGTGCAAATCCTTGGGAATATGTGACCTAGAACAAGCCACCTTCTTGCATTTGAACATCAGTTTCTACATCTGTAAAATGGGGACAATGATATTTATGCAAAAGGTGGAGTAAAAGAAGATCGTGTAGCAGTGCTTATCATTGTGGCTGGCACACAGTTGGTACAATTAATTCTAGTTCCCTTTGCCCCTCCCCAAAAGCCAAGCTTACCTTGCCTCACCTTTATCCAGGATTTCTGATGATGGATTAAAATGTCACTGACTGGAACAGCAAGTCTTATGGGAGGGGAAGTGGCCTCTGGGTAGAGTCTTCTTGTATACCAGCCTCCATTAGAATTCATGCTTGTGAAAGAGCTGGATTCACTGCCTAATGAGGCCTCTCTTTTTTGTTTTTCAGATGAGCAAGGTGAGTTGCACACTTGCCAGGCTGGCGCTGGTAGGGAGTGATGTCCCGGGTTCACTGAGACTGCAGCAGCCTTATGTAAGGAGCCACGGGAAGGTCTGGCAATAATGCCAACTGCCTCTGTGTGTGCAAGTAAAGAGCATCTGCTGTTCTTTTTTATCCAAGGGCCCCCCAAAGTCCTTATACCTCCATAGACAGGTCTGAGCCTGCTGCAGAACCAATAAATTTTAGAATCGATTAAATCCCTACATAAATACTTAGGGCTAATATTGAAGACTGTCACAACATAGGAAGAATGAAAAATCACAATCTTGCCTGAGTTATGAAGCCCATAATAAAATAGATCTATAACAGATGGGACATCAGGAGCCCATGCAGCCCACCTACTAGGGGACAAGGGACAAAGGCTGGGAAAACAAAACAGAAACACAGGCAGAGGACAGCAACAGCTCTGTGTTTCAGCTGCAGTGGCAGCCTAGAGGGATCAGTTAAGGCCTGACCTACCCCAGCCTCTGGAGGGTGGTAGATATTCTTTGTTTCCCAAAGAAAACAGGAGTGAAAAACTTAATTTTCTCAGATTGGACTGAATCGAGTAAAAGGGTTTTGCAAAGAAACCATTTTGCATTGGGTGTCTTGGGTCGCTTTGGGTGTTTTGTTTTCCTCCTGAGGGAAAACTGAGCACTCCCAAAGTTGCCTATTAATTTTAAAAGAAAAAGTTATTTAGTCGAGGAGTGGTGGTGGGATGGATTGGGAGATTGGGATTGACACATATACACTAACATGTATAAAATAGATAACTAATAAGAACCTGCTATATAAAAAAATAAAATAAAATTCACAAAAAAAAATCTAGGAAATAGTATAAATGATGCCAGATCTCAATATAGACATTGGTAAATCTAGACAAATCTAAAATGCCATGAATTTCTATTAAATTCTACTATTTCATATAAAAAAAGCTATTTATATCAAGCCTATTCCTAAATAGAATTGGGTCAACCTACAATAAAAAGGATAAACAGAACAAAACTATGAACCAGTTACAGAATTCAAAAGGCGAGAAAAGAGTTATAAATAGATGAGGGATAGGAAAGCAGTTAATTCTGCCAGGAGCACTAACCCTAGAACAGCTACTGCAGCTGCTTATAAAATTCAGTGCTGAGATTCCTGGCAGCCAGGGCAAAGACAGCAAAGGGCTGATTTTCTAGTTCTCATTGTCTCAATAAAGAAAGCATGTATCGCCAAGAGGTACATTTTGTTTCCCCAGCCCTAAGTGGAATCTGGGAAGTGTCTTTATGTGGTGGATAGTGTCTTCAGCCGCAACTGTGTGCATCCCCCCTTATGGACCTCCCCTCCCTCCATAGCCCTGCGTGAGAGCCGAGGGAAGAGGAAGCAAGAGAGAAAAATAGGGCCAAAGGGGGATATAAAAGAGAGAGGGAGAGAGAAAGAGAGAATAAAAATAAGAGATAAAACAAAACACAAACCAGACCTCTGATCTGGGTCTTCTGAGCTTTGGCCAGTACTCCTTCTGCTTTATGAGGCTGCTTTCACTGAGATGACACGGAGTATCCAGTTGATCTGTATGGAGGGAGATGGCTGGTGGTCCGTCTGTACCTATGAGCATAATCATGTCATAATCAACCTTGAAATGGTAGCACATACATGGAGGCAGCTTCAAGAAGTATCAAGAACGTGGACATTGGAGCTCAGCTGTCCTGAATTCCAATCCTGGCTGAGACTCTTACCTGCTAGGTGACTTTGTGCAGATGACCTAACTTGTCTGAACTTCAGACCCTCAACTGTAAAGTGGAAAGTGCAGACACAGTGACATTCCTCACCTCATCTTGTGTATGATATCGTTTTTAACACAAAGTCAAATCAGTCGACATATTTATTCAACCTCATGTGGGGTTCCAGCAAAGGTGCCCATCCTCTACCCACAGAGCTATGATGACCAGAGGAGACTGCCTCCCAAGTTCTTCTGGAAAAATGCTCCCCTGAATTGGCCTGCGACGTTTCTCAGAGAGAAGGAAGTGAGTCGGGAGCTGTGGCTGGAGCCTGGGACATACGTCATTGTGCCCTGCACATCTGAGTCCCACCAGGAGTCTGAGTTCATCCTCAGAGTCTTCTCCAGGAAGCGCGTCTTTTAGTAAGGTCCAGGCCTCTCCCGGAGGTTGGGGTCCACTTGGGCCAGGGGAGGGGGGCAGGGTGAGGCGAAAATGGCAGAGGACGGGGGTCTCTGTGACCAACACAGGGGACAGGGTGAGCAGGAGAGCAGGGCAGCTGTCTGCGCAGAGACATCCCTCACTTCTTCCTCCCTGCTCTCCTTCTAACAAATGAACACTCTGCTGGATGTAGAGAGAAAAAGCTAGAACAGGTCTGGCCCCTGCCCTCCAGGGGCTCAAAGGCTGGAAAGGACATGGACGTATGAACAGTTATTTATGTTATGCTGTGTCTGGGGTAAGCGTTTATCTGTCCAGGGTGTTTGGAGAGCACCAAGGAGAAGCATCTGAGCCACCCTTCCATGGTCCTGGGGGAAGCAGGGGTGGCCTCAAGGACGTGGTGATTCCTAAGAGATGCACAGGGTTTGTTCAGTTGAGGGGGGCTGCCATCAACCATCAGGCTCAGACGAACCAATATACACTCATCCCAGCCAAACTTATTACAGGCCAACCTCGGAGATATGGCAGGTTTAGTTCCAGACCACTGCAATAAAGCAAATACTGTGTTAAAGAGAGTCACAGGATTTTTTTGGTTTTCCAGGGCATATAAAAATTATGTTTACACTGTACTGTAGTCTATTAAGTGTGCCATAGCATTATGTCTTAAAAAAACAATGCGCGTACCTTAATTAAAAAATACTCGGGAATTCCCTGGCTGTCCAGTGGTTAGGACTCTGCACTTCCACTGCAGGGGGCACAGGTTGGATCCCTGGTCAGGGAACTAAGATCCTGCGTGCCGAGTTGTGCGGCAAAAAAAAAAAAAAAAAAAAACAAACTTGACTGCTAAAAAATGCTAACCATTTTCTGAGCCTTCAGTGAGTTAGAATCTTTTTGCAATGGTAACATCACTGATCAAAGATCACAGTAACAAATATAATAATGAAAACGCTTGAAATATTGCGAGAATTACCAAAATGTGACAGAGAGACAGGCAGTGAGCCAATGCTGTTGGAAAAATGGCGCCCATAGACTTGCTCTATGCAGGGTTGCCAGAAACCTTCAATCTGTAAAAAAATGCACTAACACGGAGCACAGTGAAATGAGGTAAGCCTGTATTTTGCCTATGATTGTTCTGACATGACAGCCCTTCAGTGCTTAGAACCCAGTTCTTTTTCCATCATATTTAGGGCATAGATAGTCTATCTTGGTCCCAGGCCTTACTGCCTTGTGAGACCACTGAGTCTGAACGTATGAGTGGGAGTAGTTAGATGAGGGTGGGGGAAGGAAAGGGCACACGGGGAGGAGGGTTCTGCTTGAGCAAAGGCCGTGGGGTGAGAACACAGGGCACGTGGGGAGGTACAGCCGTGTGCTGAGCCCTGTGCCAGACTGCACACTTCAAGGGCAAGTGGGGAGTCAGCTAAGGAACTGGGAAGGTGAGTTCCCAGGGGTGGGAGAATATTGGTCAAAACGTTCCCAAAATGATCCCCAAGAAGTAATTCGGTCTTTTCTCCCCCCTCAGTGAAATTGGCCGCAATTCAAGTGTCATCTTCCCTAAGGTGAGTTGTCAGGTGGAATTCCACATGATGGGGACCGTTTACAGAGCTGGGAAGGGGGACTTCTCCCCTCACATTCAGGGGTCCGGGGAAGAGGTCTGCAGATCCTGCAGGCCCTACTCTATGGCACACATAGTATGTTATCTATCGTGCCCTAGAAGTATGCAGGTTCTGCTGTTTTTGCACCAAAATAACTGCCCTCTGGTCAGGTCCTTGGCATTGAAGGCCCGAAGCCCCAGATGCATGAGTCACACCTCCATGTCCTTCTGTTTCTCTCTACCCGGTGTTTCTTCCGCCCCTTTCACTGTTTGCTACTTCCCCAAAGCCAGTGACGACTGGAGAAACAGGGATGTGGGTGAGTGCTATGGTAAAACATTTAAACCAGCACTCGAGGTCAGACTCACAGATTTCAGAGGCCTGGGAGCCGTGAGCACATTAGAGTGTGCACGAGAGTCCGTTCGTCCAGGGGAATGACCAAGTTCTTCTGTGTGTCTGTTCCTATAGGAAACTGTAGACCAAATGGAGGGCAGGATGAATTCTTCACCCAACTCTTTGAAAAGGTAAGTTGAACCAAGGGAGGTAGCAAGGAGCAGGGCACGCTGTGGAGCCTATAATCCCATGGCGGGTGGGTTTGCATCTGCCTGACCCTGTGTGTAAATTGTGATTTAAGGCTTTCTAGTCCCCAAACTGCCACTTTCTATGAAAGCCCTCAAGGTTTTAGACAAATGAGTAGAGCTGTTGTTTCCAGAAGGCTCCTGTAAAACGCATATCCGTTCTTGGAAGCTACATTGATTTGTTGTAGGAAAAACAACTTTAATTTTTAATCCCTGTGACAATGGAATATGGCAGAGGTGAGACTCAGTGTTGGGAGGTGTGGGTGGAGCCTGGCAATGATGAGCCCTCAGGGGTCTGGGGGAGGGACGCCCAGGGAGAAGACCCCGTGGGTGGGTTGGTGAGGGTGGAACCGGTAAGAGGCACTGGGGAGGAGGAAGGCTACCCTCCTGGTCCCTTCCAGTTCTTTCCTTGGGCTGACCCATGTTTGAGCACCAGCAAGAGGCCACCCTGTCCCTAACCTGAAGGATGCGAAGTACATTTAGAAACAGGGCAAGAAATCTGGGCCTGACATTTGAGTGATGTCATTACAACTGGAAGAACATGAACTGCCTGTGTTAGTAACACTCCTGATTTAATTCACAAGTTGCCTCCCCTCCCGTCTTCTCTCATCTTCACCACTGGCATTTTGCTTAATGTCATCAGAGAGGATACATCAGAATCTTATGTGTGTTGTTTATAAAAGTTTTCCTCCATACCAGGGGTTTCCAAACGTCTTTTACGGCAGTCCTTTTTATTAAATGGAATCTCACAGAGAAACCTAACATATATAAAACAGATGAATATGAACAGATAACTTATAGCCATTTTATAAGCTCAAATTTATGGTACTTATATTGCATTAATATGTTCTAAAGTTAAATGTTCATGTAAAGGGTTGCTTTTCTGAACTCTAAAATGGAAATCTGGACTCTTGGCTAAGGATAGTTTATTAATAATAAAACTGAAACCCAATTGCTGAACTTTCAAAGCATCTCTATAGAACCCAGTTTGAGAATCACCGCTATTAGTCTACCTCTTAAGAGTCCTGCCCTGCTGGGGTGCTCTGAAATTGGCACCCAGTTAAACTGTTGTAGAAGTTCTTATGAAATTCCAGATTTAATTATACGTCTAGTCATGTTCCTTATGTGCAGGAAAATGGTGTCACTTATTCTGCCCAGAAATGACATATGTGCCACCCTGAGCAGATGTGGGAGAGGCCTTTCCCAACCCCCTATAGCTGTGGGCCCTCTGCATCTAACGAGCCTTCAGCAGTGATGATTCTCTTCTACCACTCTGCTTCTGCTCCAGCATCCAGAAATAAATGCAGTCCAACTGCAGAAGATCCTGAACCACATGCCCTGGGCAGGTGAGTATTTCAGAGTCATCCTGTAGGACTCAGGGGTCACAACTTTTCTGAACTCTGGGTCTATTTCTCTTTCTCCTGGTGGGACATGTGAATGCCCACTGGTCCCCCCAGGAGCTGTGTCTTATACCAGGGTGGGTCGTGTGGTCTGACAAAGAGGTAGAGGAATTTATGCAGCTTAGAAAATTGTTCTTTTTTTTTTTTTTTTTTGCTTAGTTGAGTGTGTAAAGATAGACGGCAGTGAAAATGAAGATTTCTGCTAGTTTGCTAATTTGAGAAGAATAGCTGAATATTTCTTTCTTGGCATATAAAGTCCATGTGGAAGAATGGCATTCATTTTCTCAACCCGGCAAATAAATATTAAGTATCGACTAGCTTACCAGAGAGCTCTCTGATGAGCTCATAGTTAAATTGATTAACCCACAGAAATCTGATAGGAGCACATCACGAAGGAGAACTGCAGATGGGCGGTGTGGATGCCTTTGTATGAAGCTTGGGATAAATCATCAGAAAAGCTTAAAGCCCATATAAAAGTATTTTATGTGTATATTTTGAGTGAGAAAAACATGATTTTGAAAAAAAGTAAACCAAACAATTAAAGGGTATTTGCTACCTGAAATATGTGATTGCTTCTCCTTTACATGAAGCCAAGATTTCAAACCCAAACACACTCAGAAACTGTATAATTTCCAGATGGTTTCTCAAAGCCAAACTCGGGTATCATAAAAGAGCCAGAAAGGGAGACTCTAGAAATTATACAATATGAGATGCAGCCCCACCCTACACCTCAAAAAAAATTGTAAAAGAGATGGCTTCTGCACATTAAAAATTTTAAGGCATTAATCACAAGCATGCAAAATGATTTTTGAAAGAATGAATGGACACATTGCTTTCATTTATTCCTATGAGAGGGTTTCTGGTTGATAGAGCTACTATAGCTTTGGGCAAAATAGTTGGTAAAGTCTTCCATAATAAATGAGGAAATGTGGGTTGGAAAGTTGCAATATGATTCACAAGTTTCATCATCAATCCCAAGAGTTATATAAATATTAACCCAGAGAGATAATTCTATGTTATGGGTCAGAGCCTATACGTTTTAGGTATTTAGTTGAGAGTCTCTGTATTCTGCCCTTGGTCCCCTTAGACTTCCTCAACTTTTATCAATGGCTTGGAAGAAGACATGGCATGCAGGCTTATCAGATCTGCAGAGGGCACAGAACTGGGAGGAATAATTAATATTATAGCCAACAGAATTAAAATTCAGAATGTTCACCACAAGCTGTGCCCAAGCCAAAAAGATGAAATGTGGTCAGGGTGATAATTAAAATCTGCCATTTTATAATATTTAAAAAATCAGTTGCACAAGCTCCTAACAGAAGAGACCTCATCTTTGTGGCAGTTAATTTGAAAGCTATCTGGTTAATTTAGTTGACCTTGAGCTTAACATGTGCTAATAGTTTCAAGTCGCTGCTAAATAAGCAAATCCAAATTCAGGCGGTATTTAGTGGAAGCATTTAGTGTGTGTTTTTGAAATTGTGTTCCAAGAAATGTTAGAAACCGAGAGGCTTTAGTAAGTGCTCCGTGAAGTAAAATGGGTTAGATTCTATGGTCAGTTGTGCTTAGGAAATGCTGCATTAAACAAAATTTCAACGTTGGCTCCTGTACATGGATCACGTGCTAAGGTACATGGTGATGGAGACAAGGGTCATAGATACAGAATATTTCAAATGTATTTGAACTCAAAACCCTTTCTCTGCAAAACGTCTCCCTTGGAACCTAATTTGGGAAATGTGGACTGAAAATGTTGGAAGTGATAGACCCACCGTGCTCTGCTTACTCCACCTGCAGCTGCAGGAGTGCGTTCCAGTCTTGGTGCCACATTTTAGGGAGACGCTCGCAAAGCAAAGTGCGTAGAAGAGGGAGGTGAGAGTTTAGAAACCATATCATCTGGGGAACCGATGGAGAAATGTTTAGATGTTTCGAATGGAGGGGAGGAGTCGAAGAGGGGACAAATACCTGTTTATGCTTTTCTGGAGGTAGAACTAGGACTAGTGAGTGAGTTTTACAGGAGCTTCCTTTGGAATTAACATGAGAAATTTCTCCTGACTTGGAGCTATGGATCCATGTGAAAAAGTGAGCTCCCAGAACCGACAGGCCATCTGTCAGGACATCTGAGATTGTCTCCCAGTTTGGGTGGGAGCTTGAAAAAGGTGCCCTTTCAGACTGGGGAGCCTGTGACTCTATCGTCCTGTCTGCCCCCATCCCAGCCCTCCGATACACAGGGCCATGTTCATCTGACCTACTGTGAAGCAAAACCAGAATGTTCTCTGCAGGGTTTTACTGTATTACTTGGATGTAGGAATCCCCTCTAAGCCTTCTCTCTCTGTCTCCACTGTTCTCATTCTTCCTGCCCCAACGTAAATGGTGGTCATTGGACCCTATGGTCGGCCTAGACAGCACTGCCTCTTCCTGTTCAGAAAAGGGCCATGCCACGCCCATGCAGACTCTTTCTGTTCCTTCACAGGTCTAAGGAGTGAACAGCCTCTCTTCAGCCTCGAGGCCTGCCAGGGGATCCTGGCCCTACTGGATGTATCTTTTTGGGTTTGTGGGAGGATGCATTCTGCTGTTTGAGAGCTTTGCCCTGGAGCCAGGTGGCCTGGGGTTGAATCCCAACCCTAGCACTTACTAGGTCTGTGATCTCCGACTAGTCACTTAGCCTCACTGTGCCCCAGGTCCTCATGTGCAGCACAGAGATGGTATTAAAACCTATTCTGGGGCTTCCCTGGTGGCACAGTGGTTAAGAATCCGCCTGCCAATGCAGGGGACACAGGTTCGATCCCTGGTCTGGGAAGATCCCGCGTGCCACGGAGCAACTAAGCCCATGCGCCACAACTACTGAAGCCCATGCACCTAGAGCCCGTGCTCCGCAGCAAGAGAAGCCACCGCAATGAGAAGCCCGTGCGCTGCAACGAAGAGTAGCCCCCGCTCACTGCAACTAGAGAAAGTCCGTGAGCAGCAACGAAGACCCCAAAAATAGCAGCCAAAATACAAAAAAAAATCCCAAAAACGAAACCTATTCTGTAAGATTTGTATATGAATACAAATGAGATAACCCATGTAAAGTGCTTAGGACAGAACTGTCATCGAAAAGTGATCAATATTGTTATTAATAACAATAAGCTTACTTCCTGACAGCGAGGATGAGGCAGCTGCAGGGTGGCGGTTAGTAACAATTCTCCAGGTTACAAGGAGCTTTTACAAGAGCCTCAGGGTCCTGAGTTCTCCATTTGGTGATGGGGCAGCAGCTGCCCCCATCTACAGATCAGGAAGCCAGAGCTTGGGTAGTTCCATGACATGCCGCGAAATCAGCTTTCCTCGTTCTCAACACTGTCATTTTTCTAGCAAACCCTCTGCCTTAAGTTATTCGGAGTTTAATTACCCACGCCACAGAGAGGCACATAGAATGGATACTGTGAGAGGGGTTGCAAATATAAAGAATGTTGGCAGAAACTTTGCAGAGGCTGCGGGCAGTGTGGGATGGTGATCAGGTAGGCAGGCATTGGGGCAGGTCCCAGCCTTGTCAGCAGCTGTATGAACTTGGACAAGATCATGCTCTCTGAGCCCTCATTTCCTCATCCATAAGAGGGAGGAGTTAGTACCTACCCCACCTACTAGGTGAAAATGAAGTTCCATAGGTCAAGTGTATAGCTCAGTGCTAGGCCCACCATCAGGGCTCAAAGAGAGGTGGTGTGTCATGGTGTTTTTGAGCCAGTGTCTCTGATGCGGGGGTACTTGGACGTGGTCTACAGGGCTAAGCATGCAGCTTTTAACCGTTCCTAAAATGACTAAATATAAGAGGCATCCTTAGCCACCCTGTGCCTGACTCCTTCCATGAGTTTGTTTTGACAACAGTGAAAAAAAGAGTTACTATTTTTTATTTAAATCGCATCAGATTGGCCATGTCAGAATACCCTGCTTCACTAAATGGTAACTGTCATCACCACCATCATCAGACCATCCTCTCCTCTCAGTGCTGCTGTGTTCCAGCTCATTCCGTCCTTTCCTAGTAAGGGCCAGGGAGCCCTGGGCTGCACTGAGCAGTCAAGGGAGGCCAGCTAGGGATAGCTAACATCGAATGGGGTGTCCCAAATTGCACATTGCTGTGTGGAGGGCCCATTACTGCCTCCAGAGGTGTGGACAAAACTCCCCTGGCGGCTTTGACCTTAACCCTGCTATCAGCTTAATGCGTCCGGCACCGTGAGTATCCAGGAATTCAGGGACCCGTGGACGCAGCTGATGCTCTATCAGGTAAGATGCTCTATCAGGTAAGATGCTCTATCAGGTAAGATGCTCTGTCAGGTATCACCACGCCTCCCACGGGACAGTGCAGAAATGGCAATTCTGCAGAACTATAAGGCACCCCTCTCCCTTTCAGCCCTTTCTACCCAAACACTCACCTAATCTTCCCTAATGTCCTTTTAGTGTTTCCTCCTTTCTCTCCCGAACTCAGAGAGCCTGTTGCAATAGTCTTCTGAATTTTTAAAGCGACATCTGATCACATCGCTTCCTTACTAAAAATTTTTTGAGACTCCCCATGGCCGTCAGTCGAGTTCACGCTCTTTAGCTTGGCATTTAGAGTCCTTCATAAATTGGCTCCCTCCTACTTTTCCAATCATTACTCACAACTGTCCTCCCGTCTCCTGAGTCATAAGGTTGGAAGCGCTTCAAAATTTGGATGATGTGCTCAGATTAGGCACGTTCACCTATACCAAGACTCTCCATCCCCCGTAACAGAAAGACCGCCCACTCTCACAAGCCTTAAGGAGAACTGGGAGAGGAGGTGGGATCCTGACAGGGACCCCCTGCCCTATTCTTGTCTAGGCAGCCGGGCCTGCCGGTGGAGCCTCACAGTCAGCAGTCCTGCAGCCTTGACACTGGGGTGTGAGGGCTCTCAGGCGGGGCTTGGAAACGCCTGGCTTCCTTAGCCTTTGGTGTGGGCTCTTCGCAGGAGGTTTTCCACAAGCAAGACACTAACTGCTCAGGATGCCTGAACTGGGCCCAGCTGCGGGCTGCCATGAGGGACACAGGTAGGCCTGGAGGCGGGTGGGGAGGTGATGCTGCAGGGCGCACACCAGGCAGGGGATGGGGCGGTGGGGGTGAGTGGTGCTGGGCAGGGTGTGTGGCGTCCTGCAATCTTCTAATGAGTAGGGTTACTCCCCAAGTTCAGAGGCCCAAAGACCAGGATCCGTGAATAACTAAACCATTGATTATTATCACTATGATCACAGCTAACATTTATTGAGGGTTGGCACGTGTATACTCGCATTTAATCTTTGCCAACACCCTGTTCTAATCCCCACTTCACAGAGGAAGAAATTGAAGCTCAGAAAAGTTAACTTGCCTGGGACTTAAATCCAGGACTCCCAGACTCCAAGGCAGATGCTCTTGACCACTAAGCAGACTGCCTCCTGCCTTCAAGGCCAGTAACCCACGTGATAAAAAGATCCTCATGCTGGTTGCCTAGGGGACAGGGATGGAGAATGGAGAGACAATAAAATTAATAGGCTAAATAATTGAAAAATTCACAATGAACCGCGTAAAAGAAGATCATAGGCTATTAGGATTCAGGTCCCGGAAGTGGAGGGACAATTTAAGGGGCCTCAGGTGGGAGGGGAGCTGGATATGAGGTTTCCGGCACCCACGGTGGGGACCCTTGTTCAATGCAGGAATCGTGCTCAGTGATGACGTCTGCCAGCTGATGCTTATCCACTACGGTAGCCCTGACCTCCAGATGGCCTTCGTCAGCTTTGTCCGCTTGATGCTGCGTGTGGAGGACCTGCAGAGTGAGCTGGGGGGAACGAGGGAGGGCCCGGGCTTCCTCTGCTCTCCTCGTGGATTGCCCACCTGTCCCCAGTTCAAGCACGAGAGAGGACTGCTGCCAGTGCAGGGAGCTCTGGGGAACGCTGGCTCTGTGCCTGTGAAACCTAGCTGCATCTACCCGAACTAACTTATAAAGGAGAAGAGTTCTGAGTGCCCTTCGTTCTGCTGAGTGCGCGATGGAGCACTGTATTCACTGCACTTATTCATTTGTGCATCAAATATGACTGGGCGCCCACTGTGTGCCAGGCATATGTGAAGGTGCAAGTGTTTGTTGAATGAATGAGTGTGATACACTGAGGAGAAAACAGCTCTGTGTCTGACACTGGCTGTCCTCCCCTTCCATTCAAGCTGCACAGCTTTACTGAGCACCTGCTGTGGGCCAGATGTGGAGACACTGGAGTCTGGAGTTGAATCATCTGTCCTTTCTGTCGAAAACACATCCTCCGTTTGGGCTGCTTAGAAAGAGACTAATAAAAGCTGGGGTTTCTTCCTTGACCTCGGATGTTCAGCTTATGGAATAAGCTTCTAAGATATAGGGACCCTCAACGTGTATCTACCCTCAATCACTCCCATATTTGAGCGTGAAGGTGGGATGCAGGTGGAGGGGCAATGGTTAGAACTTCTGAGCCCGTACCCAAGCACAGATCCCCAAGGACACCTGATCCCAAGCAATCCTCCCATAGCGACATACTCCACACTGAGAGAGCACTACAGCCATCAGAGTGGCACCTGACGCAGGGCAGCTCACAGCTTGAGCAGAGGCTCCTAGAAAGCAACGTGCTATCATGGCAAGAGAGCTGGACTGAAACCCAAGGTGAAGCCACAGCGCCCCTCGTAACCACCTGTGGGACTGTCAGCACATCACGTTGCATCTCTGGGCCTCGGCTTCCCTGTGTGCGAGATGAGCTGGCTGGGTGATGTCTAACGTTCTCTCCAGCTCTGACCACCTCTGGCTCCTTGAGGAGATCCTCAAGGCCATCGAGGAGGCCTACAGGGAGTGGCAGCCAACTTGCTGGAATTTCACTCTGGGCTTTTCTGTGACCCCACTGGTAACTTCACCATTCTCATCTTCATCATCACCAGCATCACCCTGTTTATGTAACTGGCCTGGGGAGTGGTTTCCCCAGAGGTTCCCCCCCATGTGAGTTAGAGGGACCGTTCATCACACCCACACAAAGCTGTCAGACAAATGGGCCCATAAATGTAAACATGTAGACTATGTTCTATTGGATCTCTGCTACCCAGTCGGCCCACACACCTACACACTGCTGTCACAAGCACACCAAGTTGAATTCATGGGGGACAATTGCATTGAGAATTGAACATAGAATCAGCCTGCATCTTGGCTATCATCATTCGCAGGCACCAAGGGAAGTCAAGGTTGATTATATTTCAGGTTGATTTATACTTACCATGGGGTGGTGTGGTCCTTCTGGCTAAGCTCTCCATAAATGTCCTGTCTGGCTTTCCAGGAGTGATGGGGGAGGAAGCCCCAAGTCCTGCGTCAGGCTCTAGGACCTGGTGACTGAGAAATGAAGCATCCTTAACTGAATGTCAGAGATGGGTCTGAATAGATCATAATTTTCTTCCTCATTATTCCAGTGGCTGACGATGACTCTGTACTCCTGAGAAGGCTGGACGCTCGTTGGCCCTCACTGAGGACTCTGCATATGGCCCAAGGGTGGCCTTTGGTTGAGACCAACCCATGCTCAACCAACCTACAGTTCTTCAGGACTGTGTCTCCAGCCATCACCTTCTCGTCTGGTAAGATTTCTTTTCTGCAGATCTCCCCTTTGGACGGGCAGCATACAAAGAGGGAAGCAGCGAGGCAGAAAGATTGCCTTGGACTTGTCAAGACCAGCTCTCTTTCCCTGTGACCACGACCTTGTCACAAGCAGAAACGTCATCTAAGCAATCTGATTCCAGGTTTGGTGTGCTTTCCTTTATACAATACTGACTCCACAGGTGTCCAACTTAAATGACCTTAGACATGCCGCGTTCTCACATTTGGGGTAATAGCCTACGTTTCAAGACCTGAAGAGGGAATGATATGTTTGTAGGCATCTGTACCGGCATCTATAAACTGGTAGAGGGATAGGCTAACTTTTAACTGTCCGGGGGTGGGGCGGGGATACATTGAGCTTTTAAGAACACAGAAAATAACAGAACTGTCAGGGTCCAGGTGGGATGGGCTGGATCTGGCATCTGGGGTCACTGCGTGATCTTCTGCTGACAATATCTCCCGATGGTTGGATTTGGGGGGTGCCAGTGAATTTAGAACACCCGACTTCTTAAAGCGCTTCTGCATGTGATGGGTGTCAGCCTGTTTACCTGACCTGTGGGCTATCGGATCTGCTCCAAAGAAGAACAACAAATCCATGCTGCATTGTAGATTTAATCAGCGGATGGTTGGTATATCCGATTTTTTGTGCTACAGTGATCCCTCACTTTCCTGACATCCCTACCAACCCAGAACCCAGGCAGAAAATCAGAACAATGGCCATTTCCCAAGGTCCATGCATTTTACTCATAAGTTAGCAACCCAGAACCATTCATTAAAATTCTATTTATTATTGTTATTATTTTAAATTATTTATTTATTTATTTGTTTTTGGCTGCATTGGGTCTTCGTTGCTCTGCCCGGGCTTTCTCTAGTTGCGGCAAGCGGGGGCTACTCTTCGTTGCGGTGCGTGGGCTTCTCATTGCAGTAGCTTCTCTTGTTGTGGAGCACGGGCTCTATGTGTGCGGGCTTCAGTAGTTGTGGCACACAGGCTCAGTAGTTGTGGCTCGCGGGCTCTAGAGTGCAGGCTCAGTAGGTGTGGTGAACAGGCTTAGCTGCTCCGTGGCATGTGGGATCTTTCTAGACCAGGGCTCGAACCCGTGCTGCCAGCATTGGCAGGTGGATTCTTAACCACTGTGCCACCAGGGAAACCCTAAAATTCTCTTTATTATTAATTTACAAACTGTTCTAACAAACATGACTACCTGGTTTCCAGGTCCATAGGAGACTAAAGGAGGAGGTTGAATAGGGGATAAAAGAGTGTCCATTGGCAGAACTAAAGGAAGTTTGACAGCCTGGTAGACGGGCAGTGCGGGAGGAAGGAGCACTTGAAAGGGGCACTTTCAAAGCATAAAAACCTTTATTTATTCCAAATGATAAAATGTGAAGCGGTTTACCGTAAAGTGCCATATGCACTAATGCATGAGGTATTACTGATTTTGTAAACAGTCATCATATAATTATAGTCTTTTAAAGATTTTTATGTCTATCTATTTATCATTATTTCTATCTTTAGACCCTGCCATTTTAAATATTTGGTTTAGTTAAATTATTATTGCTTTGCACCATGAAGGCCGTTTTGCAGAGTTTTTGGGTGATGGGAAGGTCGTACCATTATTCCGTTCATGACACTTGCACATTATTCCATTCATCACACTTGTGTGATGGTTTTGCTTGGTGCAGATGAGATCTGCATTCAGATCAATGAATTCTGATAAAGCTCCCCGTTTGGCTTCTTGGTGGTAGTCTGAGCTGCCCTCCTGTCACTCGTGTGTTAGCCTCACCCCCCTGAGTTTAGGTATCACTGTAGCAACCCACAGATACCCTGTGCCTTGCCAACCTTCACCCCCACTGATTCCCTCTGTGCCCCTCCAAAGCTGAGTACTGGAGATGAGGGGCAAAGCCATGTCGCCACCCACATATCCCCTCCCCATCTTCTGTCACCCCAGGGCATGGGGGGCAAGTAAGGCTCTAGGACAGGGTAGACCGTTCAAGGGTCCGGATGAAGTTATGCTGAAGGTGTGAGTGGTGGACATCAGTGATTTCCAGAAGTTAAAAGCCAGGTGATTATCATGACCAAGACAGGTGGAAAGTCTGCATTCCAGAAGCCCAGCAACGGAGGAGCAAGCAGTCAGTCCTCAGGTGCCAAGACAGGTGAGTCAGGGAGTCCAGAAGCTAGGGCTGTCTAGAAGTCCAGCCCAAGCAGGCAGAGCACGCCTGGGGGTCCCGTCCTAAGCCTTCAACTCTCAGAAGAAAAGGACTCTAATTGCTAAAAGGACAGTGCAAGAGGGGACTAAAATACCTGCCCTTTATTTATCCTTGCTTTTCTTTTTTCCTTCCTCTCATGTTTTGTACAAAAACTTAGTCACCAGAGAGAGCCTTCTAGATACCAGTTAAGGCCCAGGGCAGGGCAGCCAGCAGCTTACTGTACAGAGCACTGCTTTCCTTCTGTTGTCCCACCGGGTTAGAGAAATGATTTTAGCCTCCAGGATTTCCAAGCTGATGTTTTCCCAATGAAATATATGTTTTAAAATATTTATAATGGACAAAAAGGAAAAAATTAGTTTTGTGGGTCCTAGGTAGGTAAAAGGGGGCCAGCTCTGCCTGGCTTTGTGGAGGAGTAAGCTGTGTGTCCAGCTCTTGGGGAGCTCTGCGAAGACAGCCCTCTGGGGTCACTGGCCCCAGGACCTGAGTTACCAACGCTCTCCCAGAGTCCCGAAGACCGAAGGGGTACAAAATCCAACAGGAATGAAAGTGAGGAGAGGTTGGGCAGGAATATTCTAGCTGTATGACATTGGACCTCAGGTTACTCATTTGTAAAATAGAGCCCAAAATGTCTATGTTACTGCGTCATTATGAAGATTAAATAATGCTGGTATGCTGTAGGCACTCAGTAAATGAAGCTGCTCTTTTTTTCCTTAGGCAGGACAAGTCTTTCTTTACAACCATTATTATTTAGTTTTGTTTTTAAAACACAGTCACTCACAATGACCACTCCTCTGAAACGCCCAAGGTTTCATACCCCATTTCTACTTTCCTCTTCTTCCTCTACTTCCCCTCTCTGAACCTATCACTGCTTCCTTGAAGTGTGGCCTCTGGAGGGCACCCCTCGTCTCCAATGCCAGGCACCTGCAAAAGGGGCCATCTTGTTATTAAAGCTCCTCTCACGTCACACAGACACAGGCTCTGCCCTCCACTCACCTTGAACTTCAGAAGCAGGAGAAGGTTTACTCGTCAGAGGCCCAGGTTGTCAGTGAGGGCTTTTCTGGACCACAGACCAAGCAACTCTGGAGACCATACTGACCAGCAGTTGTTCCAGAAGCTCTGTTGGATAATTTAGATGTGACCTAGAGCTGACCTGACACTAGGAGTGAGAAGGCCTGACAAGTGCACAGCCATGGCAAGGAAGCGGTTACTCTCTGTTAGACCGATGTCCTCACAGTGGTGCTCCGTGCTGATTGGCTCAGCTGGTTTGCACGTGGTGCTGAGGCCCTGGCATGGTGAGGCCAGCTGGGCAGTGGGATTGCATCCCCTCCACCTGTCCAGCCAGCCAGCCGTTCAAACATTCACCCATCCATCAGAAGACATGTGTCAACCTCCTATAATGGGTTGGGCACCGTGCTAGGCACTGGGGACACAGTCATAGTTTACTGGAGTGACAGCTGACGGACAGATGGTCTGAGGCGTGCTGTGATGGGGATGCACAGGGTGCTGGGGAAACACAGAAGACAGGTGCCCAGGCCAACCTGAGAGAGTCGGCGGGAAGCTTCCTGGGGGGTGATGCGTGGCCGTCTTATAGGATAGAGGCACTAGATAAGACAGTAAAGGGAGAACGGTGAGGTTCTAGATAGACGGTGCTGCACGTGGAGAAAAAGTACACAGAAGCAGGGAAGGGAACTGTGTGTTTGGGAAACAGCCATGGTTCCGAGGGGCGGGGCTTAGCTCTGTCGTGAGGGAGCCGGTGAGCGAGTTCGCACAGGCAGGCAGGGGCCCCGCAAGTTCTGTCATGGCATCGGGACCCTCTCCTGAGGGGCTGAGGCAGCAGCCATGGCCTTCAAGCTTGGTCATGAGACGTTCAAGCCCTTCCTCTCCACCACTGTCAGCAGGGTGCAGGCAAGGACCTCAGAGTCCTAAGAACTGAGTTCAAATCACTGCTTAGCTCAGGGGTTACTTCGGAACTTCGCCTTTTTGAATCTCTACAGCCTCGTCGATAAGACGGCGAGAAACATGCTAACCTCACAGGGTGAGTTTCATGAGACGAGATCTGAGCGTGTCTGGCATTGGGCTACGCACTTCAGAAAGTGTGAGCTCAGCCTGATCTTTCAGGTTGGGGGCGGAGCACCTTCCTTCCCACATCTGTGGCATGTGCTGCGGATGAGCAGACACTAGATGGCGCCCTGTCCCCACTCAAGGGCTCCTTCCTGGGCGCTGGACTGCAGATGACAACTTCAGCCCCCGACCTGGGAAACCCCAGCTGATTTAGAGTCCTGACAGCCTGACTCAGAGCAAAAGGCCCCCTTCAGCCCCACATGGACTCACTCCCCTTTTCTTGCCTCCTTTTTCTGCTCAGGTTTTAATTGATGTACTGTACTTCATTTTACACAGCTCATTCATTTCTGAAAAAGAGCAAACTATGCTTTTAAGCCCTTGTTTCAAATGCATCTCTTTGATGATGCACTCAGTCCACTCACCCTTAGAACCCAGCGCCTGGCTTAGTGCCGAACCCACGTTTGGTATTAATTGAATGAATGAATGCTTTTTGAAGTAATAGGTGAATCTTGTCATTTAAAAAGTCAGCATCTAATTGAGTTTCTAGGGGAAAATATTTAGTGCATGATGTTTGCTTGGGGACAAACGACTTTCCTCTAAAAGGGTCCCTCTGATGTTGCATAAGGTATAGTTTCACTCTGATGCCAAGCACTGTGGCTTTTCAAACCACCTTTGAAAAGCTCATCAGGCTCTCTCTGAAGACATTCTTCATACC